GAAAATTTGTATAGATTGTCAAAAGATGTTGAAACATTCAATGACGTTTATTTGTAGAAACCTTCATTTGCATGATATGCAAGAATTGTACGCGGCACATGAAAAAAGATATGTGTTTCCCATAATGCCTGTAAGCATCGATTGTACACACTAAAAATGGAAAAAAAAATTGTCCAGTTGCATGGAAATGACGGTATTCAAGTGGTCATCATAGTGCACGTTCGTTAGTATTAGAGGCTGTTGCTTTCAAAGATTTATGAATTTCCCATAATGGTGTTATAACACCATGGACAATGTGACATGTGAGGTGACATCCCATAATGGTGTTAAACCAAAAAAGACTAACAAAAAAGCTAGATATATCACAAAATATAGTTTATCATCAAGAAACTAATCCAAATAGACCAATCTAAAGAAACTAAACTTGATCTATGTTTAATCCAATTGAAAGTACAAACTTAGATGTCATCCGTCGTTTTTAGAGGATCAATTATCTCCCTTCTAAACAGGAGCCTATTCCGCGCCTTCCAAATCAACCAAAAAAATAGTAAATAGTTGTTTTTTCGCAAAATTAAAAATATTTCTTAAACCGTTATTGAAACTTGAAATTTGTTACAAAACTAATTCCGTAGATTAACGGAATCTTTCAAAGGAATTTTACAAAAAGAATGATTAGTTTATGGCAATTTTTTAATATGTGATTATTTGATGTTTTCTCATTTTATCATTTTGTTGATTACACATTATGTTTAGAATTAATGAATTAAGGCTGTTAGGTGTGGGCAACGCCTATGGAGCGTTTTTTCCACGTTATAACATCACAAACACCGTCCCTCCTTTTCGTTTTTGCGCGTTATTAGCCTGCACGCTGCTTCCCGTTATCACCACCACATCCTATAATGTCTGTTTTCTTGTTTTTTCTTCTAAAAACGTCGGAGGGCGTTGCCCACTCCAACCAATCTAAATTTGCATAAAATTTTAACTACAAATTGACTAAGGGTGTTTTTGGCAATGAACTTATGAGAGTTTTTATGATTTTTTAGCTTTTAAGAAAAAACTGAAATCTTGTTTTAGGGGGTGTTTGGCTAAGCTTATTTACGACTTATTTTCCGAGCTTATTTTTTATAAGCTAATTTTTTTTATAACTTATTTTTCAACTTCTGAGCTTATTATGATTTACACTAAGAAAATAAGTCAAATTTGTGAAAAATAAGTTAGAAAAAATGAACTTATAAAAAATAAGCTGGGAAAATAACCTTAGCCAAACACCCTTTTAAAATACTATTTTAAACAAAAAAACTTTTAACCTAGAAAATACTTGAAGTAGTTTTTAACTTATATTTTTTATGTAACTTTACATTTTAAAAAAATTCTAGCTAGTTTGCTAACAGTTTACACAAACAAAAGCTTTAGGTTCCAACTTTCTAATACTAGTTTTGACGAACACTTTTCAAGACAAATGTCTTAAGCCTTTGGGAAGCTTTTAACCTTTTTTTTTTTTTTTTTTTAATGTAATTTTGTATTTTTAAAAGTTATCCTTAAGTTTTCCGAACACATCTAATATAAATGAGAAATTAAATTGTTTCCTACTTTTTATGCCTACAAATGTTCCTACCCAATAAAATTATGACAAGTGTCATCCTTCCATATTTTTTTAACTAACTCATTAATGTTATATTAGGAATATATCAAATAAAATTAAATTGAAAGTTGATTTGTCATAATTTTAGTGGGTAGGAATAATTGTAGGAATAAAAGGTAGGAGATAATTTAATTTCTCAATATAAATAAAAGCCATAGCTTTCAGTTTTCCGCTGACAGTTTTGACGGACACGGCTCGTGCCTCAAATTCAAATGACTTAAGCCTTTTCATCCTTGAAAGTTGTTTAAAGAATTCCGATTTAATTTCGTAATGGTTTTTGTAAAGATTATCTCAATTATTTATAAAATAAAACAAGATTAGCGTACCACCTAATATCATTTGACGTATTTGGACCTTTCTTAATATTTATTGGTTTTTACATATTGCCTAACACACCCATTTGTATCGTCTATACACATAGACCTTGAATATTTTACAAACATACAAAGTATAGAATTTATAAACCTTTCAAAAATTACATTTTATCCTGGAAATATTTTGATAATATTAAGCATTCATCTTTCTTAAAAGGAAAGCTATATATTTAACATAAACTTACGTAGCTGCTTAGGCCTCGGCTTATAGAATCAAAATTATTATAGAATGATAACTTTGCTTTCTTACATTGAACTATTCTTAAAGATTACAATATATAACGTATTCAGCATAAAATAGTAACTCCAAATGAGAAGTACATATCCAGTGTTCTAAGAAGCATCGTCTGCAATTTGGATATATCATTAACTGAAAAACCAAACGTGGGACTTTGTACTAATTTGAATATTGACTTCAAACTAGTCAAACATGTTTTTTTTTAATCTGAAATTACGTACAAGCCCATGTCTTTTCGGCCATTGAAATCTGATCTGACGGCTGTAAAAGCATTACTTTATTATTTTTTCAATGTGCTGACGATGGAATATGACTATGATGCCCCTGATTGGCGAAAGTTCATTGAACACAAAAACGCAATAAAAGAGAGTGAGGGCATTTACGTAATTACACCAAAACGACATGTTTATTCTTTTTCTAACGTGGGGTTGTTGTAGCCGCCTAGTGAACATTCTTGAGAAAATTTAATTAATTACTATTAGAGTTATATCGCTATAGTAATTTTTTATTTTGATACTTTTAACCTTAATTTCAATCTTAGAAAATATGAAATTAAAGGTTACCAATTACACTCCAACTTGGAAATGATTGGTGTTAAAATGTAATGATTATAAACTTCATTTTCTATTTTTTACCTATTTGTCCTCTTTTATGACAAAAGGATAACAATATGGGCGTCTTAAAAAAATATTTGTGCCAAAAAACAACTTTGAAAAAAGCATATTGTATTGCAATTATGTAGTGAATGGCCATATGTCCTTCCAAAGGTTAAAAATCCTTATCTGATCATCTGACTTCTTGCTAACATCACAAACAAGTTGAGTACGTATTCTCATACCAAAATTCTTTTGACTGTTTTTTTACTAAACAAGCTATTAAGAAGTGAGCTTGATATAGTGCGATGATGTTGTACCGATCAGTGTTAATGTTGTAGCATGCAGATGTGTCTAAGAAGAGATAAAACGTAACTTAGATGGAACCATTAGTCGATACAAAGCATGCTTAGTTATAACAGAGTTGTTGCATAGTGCTTAAGTTGATTGTTTTGATACATTTAGTCGAGTAGTTAAGCCTACTATTCTTGGATTGCTAATTTGTCAAAGTGATGCTAATAATGTCTTCTTGAATAATTAATGATGTTGATGAAGTAGTTTATATGGAGCGTCCATCTTGATTAATGGACATTGGCAGCTTGTATCATGTTTTCCTTTTTAATTAAGAAGGTGAACTTTGTTTGGTTATTAATTGTATTTAAAATGTACCCCTTAAACCATTTTGAAGGTTGCTGGTTTGTCACTTTACGCAAAATAGACTTAGTATCAAGATCGTTTGGTTTGTGTTGTTGCATGTACACTTCAAATTCAGCTCTTTTTATTACAACCATCTCTGCTTGTTATTTTTCTTCTCGGTAGCTTTTTATTATTGTAATAATAATTGCTGTTGTTAACAAAAAAATAAAAAAAACACTTGCCTAACCTGTTTACATTAGTTGTTATAAATTGTGGTACTTGAACGTAACAACAACATTATCTCTCACCACTAATGTGCGTACAAATTCAGTAATTCTAATCTCACAAAAGCTTCTGGTTTGCTAGCCAGAATGTGTTAATCGACTAGGTTTGACTAGGTAGTTTGTTTCCGTTTTAATAAATTTAGTGCATTTATGGGAGCTAGTTTCAGTCAATTCAATTTAGTTGCATGGATATTTGATTATATTGACATCTCAGTATGCTTTAAGCTTTCAGTGTAAAAAAAAAATAATAAATAAAAATAAAAATCCAACTAAGGAGATGATATGATACTAGCATTCCTTAAATAAGAAATTTGTCCGAAAATTAACTATAATCAGTTTTGCCTGTTTTGGTCAAAAGGGATAATTCTTGCAAGTAAAGGCAGGATATACAATGACTATATAATTAATGAATTAAACAGCACTTATGATAAAATGACATATAAATATTTTACATAAACGTTTTATTTGAAAAAACGGTTGAAGAGAAAAATGAATATGTTTTTAATAATGATAACTCAAATTTATAACATAATCGAACAAAGAAATTAATAATTACATACTCATATTTTCACCATTATATATAGTATTTAGATCATTTTTAGTACAGCTTAATTGAATTTAATTACAAACATAAATAGTTTTTTGAGACATGAGAAGAACTAGAAAATATAATTTAAATAAAAGAATGTGAACTTTGATTCCAAACTTAATAATAATAATAATTAATGTAACTGATATAATTATAAAATATGAATGTATGGTCAATAACTCATTCAAATATGAAACTGTGAATACCAAAAGTACAGTTAATTACAATGTACCAATTCTATCAAACTTTAGTTAATATTTTAAAAAGGGCAACCAACCACCATGCATTAAAAAACTATGATTATGCGATCAATAACTGTCTTCTAATTAATTTAATTTAAAACACAAACCGTCTTTCCATAATTATTTTAAGCAACCCCACGTGTTATAAAGATGCAATTTGCACTTTGCATAGTTGCATGGCTGATGAAACTTCATGGCAATTCATATAGATAATTACTTATGAATATAAAACAACTTTACTTAAAATTCCTCGCATATATATACATACATCTTATATCTATCTCCCCATCTACTAAAATTTCAACGATAATTCCCATCAAAATCACAAGCGGAATTCAAATTCAAAACCTCACCATCAATAACTTACTTTAAAAATCACAAAACATGTATCAAGAAACATTCATGTCAGAATCTGATCTCTCTTTTCTTGATTCAATCCAACACCACCTTCTCTACGATTCCCAGATCTCCAATCTTTTTCCGGAGACGAGCAGTGGATCATCTGGCAGCAGTGCAACACTAGGGGACGTGGTGGCTTCCGGTGGGTTCGACCTGCCGGTGGTGAAGCTCGAGACATCAGAAGAAAATCAAGAAATGGAAAAGCAAGAAGTTGAGGCGGGACGTGAAACTCACGCGCCTCAGGAGTTCAGGAAGTTTCGGGGTGTGAGGCGGCGGCCATGGGGGAAGTATGCAGCGGAGATAAGAGACCCGGCGAAGCGTGGGGCGAGGGTGTGGCTTGGGACTTATGAAACTCCGGAGGATGCAGCGGTGGCTTATGATCAAGCAGCTTATAAGATTCGTGGGTCTCGCGCTTTGTTGAACTTCCCGCACCTGATTGGAACAAACATGGCAGAGCCAGTGAGGGTAACTCAACGTCGGAAGTCAGTGATGGAGGCTGGGTCGCCACCATCATCTTCGTCGGAAGACGGAGGCATAAAGAGACCAAGGAAAAGTGGTACAGTGGATGATTACTATCTGCCATACTAAGATAAATTATTTGCATCCATTCATGTGATTAATTTTTTCCATTCTTTTAATTAAGAAGCTCAATTTATTTCTTCTTTCAAATTTAATTAATCAATTTGCATTTTTCTAAAATGAATGTAATTACTTTTTGGTTTTTATTTGTGTAAAAAATAAAAGTCAGTTCGAATTCAGAACTTCATAAGTGAACATTCTTACATTCATTAGCTTTGTGACGTGCTGATGAATTCCTCAACAAGTATATTAACTCAATATATAACCGATAAAATCATTTAGCAGTTGAATATAAAATATAGTTGTAAATTTAAATACAGAATATTGTCAATCTTCAATGGTCAATGTCGTTTGCAATTTTGCATTGTTCTTGCTTATGTCTTACTTTTCCTTCGAGTGGTCACGGCAGCATATTGCCAATTAGAAGGATAGTGATTAAGTTTCTTTGGACATCATTCACAAGTTTAATCGAAACTTGTATTTATGTTAATGCCTTTCTGGCTATTTTATTTTAAAGTTTTCTTTCTAGATTTATCTTTATTAAATATATATTTAATTGGATAAAATCTTTAGAAGTGTATATTATCTGTTAAATAAGTTGATTTCTCTAATTAGAGTTATACATTCGTATTAGGCTTTTTAGATTATTATAAATAAAACAACAATCATAGAAGTATGAAGAGTTAGAGTTTTATTAATAAAAAATCTGCATCATTTTCTATTTATTTTATTCGTTTTGGTTGTAATTATCATTCGATCCAATCATCTCGGGATCACTTGGTATCAAAGCAAGTGTATGCAAATGTATGCATTGATGAACAAATGCTTCGTGGGTGATTTTCCTTCTCTATTCTCGGCTTCTCTGATTCTTTATTGTTCAAAAATCTCTGACGATTCATTGATTCAAGGTATGTGCAATGTTTTCCCTTGATTTTTTCATCATCTGATTATCTATTAGGATTAATAGCCGATTAGGGTTAATTTTTTGATTTTCCATTGTTTTTTGTTTATTGATTAATGCTCGATTTCTTTTTTTTCTCATTGATTTTTGATTTTTGAATTAGTGTTTCCACTCATATTTTGCGTTGTTGGCTTGCTGCTTAAAGCTAAAGAATGTTGTCCTTTTAATTAAAACACTTGTAACATCCCAAAATTCAAGACCAAAACTTCCATTTAAAATTAAGTAATGAATAAAAATAGTAATCTGAAAACATCGACAATATCATTTCGTCTCATAAACAACACAAGTGTCAAAACATACCATGTAAAATAATGTTAGAGTATAACTCCCAACGATCTCATATGCGGAAAATCATAGTGTGATGCGCTGCAATCATGCCGGCCCCATTCCTCTCGAAGAAGAAGTACCTGAAAACAAAACTGTAAACTGGAAGCATGAAGCTTAGTGAGTTTCCTTATCATACCACATAAACACATACTGCCAGACATATCTGGGTGCCCGCCTACCTTGTCAGGCATATATGGGTGCCCGACCTACCCTGCTGAGCATCCCTGGGTGCTCAACCTACCAATGTCAGGCATACTTGGGTCCCCGACCTACCCATGCCAAGCATATCTGGGTGTTCGACCTACCCTGTCAGACATATCTGGGAGTCCGACCTACCATCTGGTCTCATCCAACCGGTTACGGAGTATATATCACCTCCTACCACTATCACATAATAATATATCATAAACATACTGTCAGACATATCTGGGTGCCCGACCTACCCTCTGGTTTATCTCAACCGACTACGGGGCCTATTCCACCCCTCCTACCACTACCACATAATACATAGCACACAAGCACATAAATCTCTACAGATAGTGGCATACCAGACAATTATCACAAAGACAATCATCTCTACTATAAACAACAACTAGTGGGCCAGACGTGGTGCCTTAGACCCACTTCTACAGAAAGGTAACTCACCTCGCAAAGCTGAATGAAGAATCTCACGGTAAGAAATCTTTAACGGCTGCTCCGTCGACTCCCCGAGCTATCATTACCACAATAACACTTAGTCAAAAACTAATAATCCTTCTTAGGGTAAAATGACCATTTTACCCCTAATCTATTTTTGGCCAATGCCTAAGGCCCAACACCATAAAAATGAAAGGCCCAAATCTAGATAGCCTTCCCAAGCCCACTAGTGGCCCACCAATGGCCCAATTTTCTAAATTGAGCCCAACTCCTCAAATGGGCCTTCTCTTAAGCCCAACATACTCTTAGCCCAAAATAAATAATTTCTGAGGGCCCACTATGGCCCAAAAGACCCAATACCATAAATCGCAGTTCTAGGCCCAGAGGCCTCACTCCACAGCGGGCCATGAGGCCCAAAAATCCAGGCCAAAACTTCTAAGGCCCAAAATGTAACATCCCAAAAATCATGACCAAAAATTTCGTTTTTAATTAAGTTATTCTAAAACCAACAATATAAAAACATTCATAATAACATCACGTGTCAAGACAAAAGTGTCAGTAATCAAAACATATTATCATAAAAATAATATCAGAGTGTAATCCCAAAGATCTCATGTGTGGAAAACATAGTGTGATGCGCTGCGGTCGCGGCTCCATTTCTTTGAAAACGTAGTACCTGAAACCAAAACTGAAAACCGTAAGCACGAAGCTTAGTGAGTTCCCCCATCATACCACATACCATACATAACACATACTATATAACATATCCGGGTACTAGCTACCCCTTCGGTCTCTTTCAACCGCTAACTTGCCTAGCATATCAGGGTGCTGGCCTACCCCTTCGGCCCTGTCGACCGGTAACTCGCCTAGCATATCAGGGTGCTGGCCTACCCCTTTGGTCCTTTCGACCGGTACCTGTGGACTATTTCACACCTACCACTACCACATAATATCATAATCTGTCTAACATGATTGGGTACTAGCTACCCCTTCGGTCCTTTCGACCAGTACCCGGGGACTATTTCACCCCCTACTCTACCACATAACATCCTAGTTCATAAACATATAAGTCATATACTGCCTAGCTTATCTGGGTGCTGGCATACCCCCTCGACCCTATCGACCGGTACTAGGGTCTATCCTACCCCTCCTATCACATATCATATAACATCATAGCATACTATCACATAAACATAACATACCAGATAATTATCACAAAGACAATTATCTAACAACCATCTCCTACTAGTGGGCCGAAATTGTAGCCATAGACCCACTTCTACTGGAAGGTAACTTACCTCAATGTCGTAAAGTGTCTGAACTGTCCTTGCTGCCGGAATCAACCCCTCTTAGGTCCTACACATAACAATCTTCCTTAATTACCAATTCCTGGTCAACTCAGGTCAAAGTCAAAGTCAGGGTCAACATCTTGGTCAAAGTCAACATCCAGTTGACTCAACTTGCCGAGTTGGACCCACAACTCGTCGAGTTCAGAAATCATGAAAACGCCAAGACTTCGACCCTACTCGCCGAGCCTTACAAGGGCTCGCCGAGTTCTCCTTTTAACAAAGTCGGGACCTTCTACAACTGACTCTCCGAGTTCATCTTTGTCCGAGTTAAGGTGTTTAGTCCTTGACTCGCCGATTTCATCCTTGAACTCGTCAAATTCATCTTCATATGGTTGGGATATTTCCTTGAACTCGCCGAGTTCATCCTTGAACTCGTCAAGTATTTTGATCTTCATGTCCATAATGAAACCAACTGGCTGAGTCTTCTTCCAACTCAACCCACTACTCGATATCAGAAGGGGTTTTGGGGAAAAATGCGACCTGACTCGCCGAATCACATAAGCGAATCGCCGAGTCCCTCTATGTCCAAAACTATTTAGTCAATTTCAGATGGTCCTAATGCATCCAAAACATAAATCTGACTTCCTAGGGTCCATATTACACGTAAAGCTACGAACTTGACGTTCATGGATGGCGTTTTTGGCTCAAAAGGCTCTAAAATGAGGTTTATATGATGCATGGGACTCCCATGGCCATAAAAGTTGACACCTTTATGCCATGGGAACCCTCAATGGTACCAGATCTGAAGTCATACCCCCCCACCTTAGAACCACAAAATCCCGAAAATGGCTCTACTAAAACTTAGAAAAGATAGAAACTTATCCTAACTAGAGATCTAAGAGATAAATGGTCAAGGTTGTAGATTTTCACCTTGAATGAGCTGGAAATGAAGCAAAACCTCTGGATCTACTTGCTTCTTTTGGAACCACCAAGCTTCCCCTTCTTTCTTCAAGCTTCCAAGCACTCAAGAACACTCATAAATGGCTCACAAGCTTATGGAAGGCACTAGAGTTTTATGGATTAGAGTTTGAGCAGTGTAGGCTGGAAATGAGGTTGATGGGAGGGGAATAATATGCTTAAATAGGGAACAAAATCCTTAATTTAGGGTTTCCCAAACCCAGACCAACTCGCCGAGTTGGTATTCCAACTCGTCGAGTAGGTCACTTAACCCGCGTCCCAAAGGAATATGTTCAAAGGAATGTACTTTGAATTTGAGACTTCATTTCCATGGAATTGTCTTGTAACAATCTCCAAAGGAATATTTTGTAATATCATTGGTCAAGTCTCTGTGACTGTTGGCACCTAGACATTACAAAAGAATCATTGCATGATAGTTTAGAATATAACACTTCTAGCAGTGACAAGAATTTGGAATTCTTACACTTGCAATAAGGATTTGGAATTTTGAAATGAGCATCATTGAAATGTTTTTCAATTGATCTATTTCATAAAGTAAGGACCATGGACAAACATAGTGTGCATGCTTGGTACATGGCACAACTATTGTTTAGACAAACATAGTTTGCATGCTTGGAGCATGGCATAACTATTGTTTTAATTCAAGTGTTAAGTTGATTATTCAAAACATTGTACAATGAATGATGAGTAATCTATATGGCTTAAAAGTTTTGGGGCCATATAGGATTAGTATTATTCTTGTGTTTCACTTTGCATGTTTTGATTTTCCGAATAACTAGGTTATTCAAATCATCCACAGTCGATCATACTTTGGAAGT